AAAAAAGAAAACCCAAAGCTTACAAAGAAAGCAAATAAAGATCAAAAAATTGGCCACTACAGAAAGTAAGCTCATTGAAACTAAAAGCTGTTTAAGATAATCAAAGTGAACAAAACTTTAAAATCAGAAATAAAGTATTAACTGCTACTACAGAAATACAAAGTATCATAAGAGAATATCATAGACAATTATATGCTTACAAACTGAATAATCAGGCAAAACATAAGTTAATTTCTAGAAACATATGGCCTATCAAGACTAAAATTATGAAAAATGGGGCCTGGCACAGTGGCCTAAGGACTCGGGTCCCTGTCACCCATATAAAAGACATTGGTTGTTATGGACATTTGGGCAATGAAGTAGCAAATGGATAATCCCATCTTGTTGTTTGTGTATACCTTTCAAATAAATAAATCAAAATGCCAAAGATACGCATACTTGAATTTGCTCAAGTGCTCACACACGTACCCAAACACAAAAGTTTACCATGTAACAGCTGCTAACAACCTTGATTGTGCTTATCCAATCATTACATGTATACTTAAAACACATACAACTTTACCTGTCAATTACATCCCAATAAAGTTGAAAAAAATTAAGCAAGTTTAGAAAACACATCTAGGAGTTTCTATCAAGAACAGTAAATATAATAAACATGCTTTGGAAGTTACTAGAGATCGGGCCCAGTACAATGGCTCAGCAGCTAAAATCCTTGCCATACACGCTCTTCGATCCCATATGGGCACTGGTTTGTGTCCCAGCTGCTCCACTCCCATCCACCTCCCAGCTTGTGACCTGGGAAAGCAGTAGAGGATGGCCTTGGGAGCTGGCACCCACGCGGGAGACCTAGAAGAAGCTCCTAGCTCCCAGCTCCTTGCTACAGATCACCTTAGCTCCAGTTGTAGTGGCTACTTGGGGTGTGGAGGTGGTGGTGAATCTGACTTTCCAATAAAATAAACAAATCTTTAAAAGACAAAAATTTGAAAAAATTAAATCTCAATTATTCTTGGACTGACCTATTTATATTTTATAATGGTTAAAGATGAGAAGGGAGGAGGGTGCCAGCACCATGGTGTATGAAGCTGAACTTCTGCCTAAGTGCTAGCATCCCATATGGGTGCCTGTTCTAGTCCAGCTGCTCCACTTTCCATCCAGCTCCCTGATAACATACCTGGGAAAGCAGTAAAAAATGGCTCAAGTCACTGGGCTTCTGCACCCACATGGGAGATCCAGAAGAATCTCCAGGCTGCTGGCTTCACATCAGCCCAGCTCTGGCCATTGCAGCCACTGGGGAATGATCTTACTATCTTTCTCTCTCTTCAAATCTGCCTTACCAGAAGAAAAAAAAAAAAAAAAAGACAAGCAGCATAGTGGAACCCTGCTCCATATTTCACCTTTCTCTAATATACTCCATGAAGACAGAAATTTTTGTCTACCTAATTTATCATCATACACCCTAGATTTATAATAGAATAAAGAATGGGGCAGGGTAGTGACAGAGTATACTAATCCTCTCACTGAAGCGCTGGCCTCCCATATGGACAGTGGTTCTAGCCCAGGCTGTTCCTCCACCAATCCAGCTCCCTGGTTATGGACTGGGACAGCAGCAGAGGATGGCCAAAATCCTTGGGCCCCTGCACACACCTGGGAAACCCAGATGCAGTTCCTGGTTCCCAGCTTCGGCCTATCCCAGCCCAGCTTTGGCTGTGGCGGCCGAGAAACCTCTTTCAAATAAGTTTAAAAAAAAAAAAAAAACCTTTTAAATATATGTATGTAATGAATCAAGTAAGTAGTCAAATATTTGACAAGTGATAGAGGTTAGCATTATGCCATAGTGGATTAGGCCAGCACTTGGCAGTGCTGGTACCCCATATCTGAGCCCTGTTTCCAATGCATCTCCCCCCTGCTGGGGTTCCGGGAAGGCACTGAAGGATGGCCAAGGACCTGACTGCTGCCAGCCATGTGGAGACTCAGATAGAGCTGTAAAACCCTGGTTGCAGCCTGTACCTGCCCTAGCCATTATGGCTATCCAGGGAGTTAATCAATGGACAGAGGATCTCTGTCATTCTGCCTTTAAAATTATTAAATGTTACAAAAAAAGGACACATTTTTCAAAAGAAAAACTAGTAATAATAATTATCCATTTCGTTTTTCATTTATTTCAATTAAGGATTCTCCACAACTGGGATCATTAATGTGGCAAAGCAGGTAAAGCTGCTGACTGGGCCCGGCACAATGGCCCAGTGCTGAATCCTCACCTTGCAAGCAGCAGGATCCCATTTGGGTGTCTGTTCATGTTCCAGCTGTTCCACTTCCCATCCAGCTCCCTGCATGTGGCCCAGGAAAGCAATAGAGGATGGCCCAAAACCTTGGGACCAGTGCCCACATGGAGATCTGGAAGAAGCTCCTGGCTCCTGGGTTCAGATCAGCTCAGCTCAGCTCCAGCCATGTGGCCACTTGGGGAGTGAACCAGCAGAGAGGCTCTTTCTGACTCTCCAACTCTGTAACTCTGTCTTTCCAATAAAAATAAATGAATTTTAAAATAAATAAATAGCTGCTGCCTGCAACACCGCCATCACATGCAGGTTCAGATTCACATGCCAGCTGCTTCAGTTTCTATGCAGCTCCCTGCTACAGGCCTGGGAAAAGCAGTAGGAAATGGCCCAACTCTTTATGTGGGCACCTGCCCCCCAAACAAAAAACCTCAATGAAGCTCTTGGCTTTGGCCTCACCCAATCCTAGTTGTTGTGGCTATCTGGGGAACGAGTAAGTGACTCAGCAGATGGAATATCTGTCTCCCCCCTCTCCGTATTTCTTTCAAAATAATTTTTTAGGCCCAGTACAGTAGCTTAGCACTTAAGGTCCTCACCTTGCATGCACCAGGATCCCATTTGGGTGCTAGTTCTAACCCTGGCAGCTCCCTGCTTGTGGACCGGGAAAGCAGTCGAGGACGGCGCAAAGCCTTGGAACCCTGCACCCATGTGGGAGGCCTGGAAGAGGTTCCTGGCTTCGGACTGCCTCAGCTCTGGCCACTGCGGCCGCTTGAGCAGTGAACCAATGGATGGAAGATCTTACTCTCTCTCCTCCTCTCTGTACATCTGACTTTGCAATAAAGATACATCTTTAACAAATAATAATTTTTTTTTTAAAAATCCAAAGTTGAAACTTGTTTTCAGAGAAATTATTCACAAAAACCATCCCAAATCGTTCCCTTATTTAACAACTTAAAATACAAATTACAAAACAAAACTAAGAGGGCCAGGTGCGGTCATCTAGTGGCTAAAGTACTTGCTTTGAATGCACTGGGATCCCATATTGGCGCCGGTTCTAATCCCAGCAGCCCCTCTTCCATCCAGTTCTCTGTTTGTGGCCTGAGAAAGCAGTCAAGGATGGCCCAAAGCCTTGGGACCCTGCACCGATGTGGGAGACTTGGAGAAAGTTCCTGGCTCCTGGCTTCGGATTGGCTCAGCTACCAGCTGTTGCAGTCACTTGGGGAGTGAATCATCGGATGGAAGATCTTCTTGTCTCTGCTCCTATCTGTATATCTGACTTTGCAATAAAAGTAAAGTAAACCTTAAAAAAAAAGTTTTAGAAATCACAAAATGTAGCAAGTCAAGCATGGAATTTGGAAGCTATTTGTGTTTCTGATATCAAATATAAATTTCAAATTACATGTATAATTAAGTCATGCAAAATTTTGACAGCTTGTTTTGTTACTTGCTTGAAGCAAATATAATGCCAATTTAAGAATGAGAAAAATTTTTTATATAATTTCAAAATACAATTTTCAATACTGAACTGATTCCTAACATTATTTGTTGCTTAAGTTCCTCTTGCATTATGCATGTAGAAAAATAACATAATTTTTATTGCAAAGGCAGATTTACAAACAGGAGAGAGGGATCTTTTGTCTAATGATTCACTCTGCAACAGCCAAAGCTGAGCTAATCTGAAGCCAGCAGCTAGGAGTTTCTCCCAGTTCTTCCATGCAAGTGCAGGGTCCCAAGGCTTTGGGCCATCCTCAACTGCCTCCCAGGTCACAAGCAGGGAGCTGGACGGGAAGTGGAGCAGCCAGGACACAAACCAGCAACCATATGGGGAACTGGCACATGCACGACGAGGACTTTAACCATTCATTAGGCTACTGCGCAAGGCCCAACAAAATAATTTTAACTTGCTAAATGGGTTCAGGATTGTTCATTACTATGTAAGCCCTTCAAAAGTCAACACATTATCTATATGCTTCCACCTATTTGTGGTGCCTACAGTAATGAAATTCATAGAAAGCAGAAATGTGGTTACTGGATGATAGGTGAGTGGATAGTTCGGAACTGGTATTTTATGGGTCTAGTTTCAGACTGGAGTGAAGATGGAGACAAGATGGTGCTGACTGCAGAGCCCTATGAATGTATGCAATATTACACTGTAACTTAAAAAGATCAATTCTGTATTATATGTATTTTACCATACTAATAAAAGGCTCTCATTTTACAAAGGAGGTATAAATTCACAGTGCTTATTATATGTATTTTTAAAACATTATCTATTTTTTGGAAAGGCAGATCGGATTTACAGAGAAAAGGAAAGACAAAGATTTTCCATCTACTCTCCAAATGGCCACTATGGCCTGAGCCAAGCTGACACAAAGCCAGGAGCCAGGAGCTTCTTCAGATTTCCCATGCAGGTGCAGGGTCCCAAGGTTTTGGGCCGTCCTCGACTGCTTTCCCAGGCCACAAACAGAGTTTGGTGGGAAGCAGAGCAGCCAAGACACAACCAATCCCATATGAGATCCTGGTACTTGCAAGGTGAGGATAGCCACTGAGCCATCGCACCAGGCCCATATTTGCAGTTTTATATACATTTTATATCCCTTATTTTTTATCTTTTAAACCTTTTTAATATGATTTTTGTTCTATTTATTTGCAATTCTAAATTCTCTTTATGATGAGGAAAATGAAATGAAGGCAATAACTATATATGCACCTTTTCCAAACAATTACCTTGGAAACCACTTGGCATGCTCCACCCAGGGATCATCTCCAGATTCCCAACACCTCAGGCCACCATCGCAACAGAAGCATTTGACATCATCATTGCGACCTGAAGGGTAAAAAAGATGCCATTTGCATACATACCTACTCTAACATGGGAAATAAAACCAAGTTTGTGAAATGTATGGCTCTTCATGAGTTTCTTACCTACATAATAAAAACCAGCACTTGCAAGCTGCTCTGGACGCACTGGAGCACTGGCTGGCCAGTACATAAATGTCCGCATTCGAGAGGCATGCGTCTGCATACTCAGATTTGAAATACTGAACCTCAGTGCTTCCAGAGAATTCTCCAAAAACGGACATTTGGGGAAATGCCTCCGGTGTTCTGCCATAGCGTCGTCCTTGGGTTCCCAGTTGCTTAGCTGCCCACCACAAGCAAAGCAGGCTACCCTATCCCCAGGTCCTACATAATAGAAGCCAGCTCTTGCCAATTCCGATGGTGACAAAAAGCTTAAGGGCCACATGTGATAAGTAAGAAACCTTGCTTCTTCACTACTCATGGAATAATGATAAGGGCTAGTCCGCAGTGGAGAAAGGTCTTCAACTGCTCTAGAGTTAAGAGGGTTTGTTGAAAAGCTGGGACCACCGAATGAGCCACCTGCTTCCAAAGGGAGAGATGATGAATGCGCAAAACTACTTTTCACTGGAGAAGTGGTCTTACTGGCGGGCTCCAGACTAGTTACAACCAGCTTCTGAACAAAGCTGCAGCTAGGGTAGAGCTGCTTATGCTTCTCAATGGGCTTGTCTCCTTGTTTCCAGTTATCCAGCATCAGGCCACAACAGAAGCACTTGACCTTGTCATTCACGCCAGTGTAATAGAAACCAGCACGGGCAAGACTCCGCTCGGAGACGGGGACCCCGGCGGGGAAAGCCGAGTACGTAGACATCCTGTAGAGTTCACAAGAGTAGTCATACTTCATTTTTTGCTTGTTGTCATTTGTCCAATTTGACAAGATGGTGCTCTCTTCCATCATACTATGAATTCTTCAAGACAAAGTCTCTGGGGCAACTCTTAGAGAGGTAGCTCTGCGCATGAGTAGTGGCAGTATTTCTTGATAGCTAACACCTTCACATGAAATTTCTCATCTCTTCACACTAGGCGTTCAGTAGAGAATGTCAAACGCATAGCTAGTCCTTTCCAGTTTTATAACCAAGGCCTAACAAAGCAATGCATTACCAACAGAACTCCGGCTCACCCATAATGGACCAGCAGCGAACTCCTCACACTCTTTTTGAAAACTCACTACTTTCCACATGTAATTCCTACACAAAACTACACTCCCATGGAATTCAAATTATATCCCGTTATGAAGTGTCAGGGTCTCCATAATGGGATTTACTACTGCAAGAGAGGGGAAAAATCAGGGACTCTTCAGGGTCCTAAATCTGAAAAGAAAAAAAAAAATGTATTTTTAAAAACCGCTTGCATGGTAAATGAATCTTACAGATAATGCAATTTACACACTTTAGACAACAGACTTAACTCCAGCAATGTGTCAGCAAAACTTTCTAAATGGAAATGCTCTTAATTTAAATGCATGCAATACAACTCCATGGCCACCACAACACCAACTATATCTATGTCACTAAAACGTACAACATCAAAGCCCATGCACAATTCCACACAGGGAACAGTCTGTCCCCTCCCCTTTTCTCATCGAAGGATAAGTACTTCGCACACATTTGCAGAGGCAAAAGGAGACGAGCTGCAGACTTCATTCAGCTGTGCCTGCAGATAAGGTGCGCCAACGGGATTCTTAATTTTTTTTCAGGTGTTACCAGGGCCAGGAAAACTGGCTAGTTGGGAGTTAAATACCATCAGGAGGAGCTCATTAACACAAATTCTTACTCCATCAGTTGCCCCGTTATTGCAAAGCACAAAGCAACTCGAAAACCGTAATTTAGCAATAGCCCGTGAAACTCGGGGATGCACACAGGGACGCTTTTTATCTCTTAACGCAAAGCGCAGGTTGGTAGGCGATAAAACGGAAGGCACAGAAAAACCGTGGTGCTGAGCTATTAATTTCTCATAGGTATTTCTCACAATGCACAGCCACAATACACAAAACTCCGTGAAACGTGCGCTCTCGCGTTCCCACAGATTCAAGGGACACGGAAGAAGGTTCAGATTACAATCGCGCAAAAAGACTCGGGTGCAAATATCTTGGTCAAACTCCAAAGGGCAGAAAGGTAGGCGGCGGCCACAGCGGGCTTGGAAACAGATTTTAAAAACAATAAATAGTAGTAGCACCAGTAATAACCGCTCTGGACTGCAAGGCTTCCAAAGAAACGCCTCGGCGAGGGCAGAAACCAGGCAGCCCACGGCGACCCTCGGCCGCGGAGCCCCGGGCCCTCGGCTCCCCAGCCCGGCCGCAGCCCCAGGGAAGTGGGCCCTCGCCCGCCCGGCGCGGCCAGGCCCGGAGGGAGCCGCACTCACCGCACCGCCAGCACCGCAAACACGGAAACAGCGCGGCTGCCAGGAGACCTCCACACAACCGGAAAGCAGCCAGGCCCAAGAAGACACCGCCCCGGGCCGCCGCCCCCACCGCGACGCGCACGCACCGTGACGTCAGCGCGGCCTGCCGGGCGTCCACGTCAACCGCCGCGCGAGGGCGCCCGGGCGAGTGCGGTCGGAGAGCGGAACGGAGCGGCGGCCGTCTCCGGGAAAGCGGCCCGCGCGGCCCGGAGTTTTCGGTCGCCTCGCAAGGGCCGCTGCCCGAGCGCTTCCTCCGCAGTCTCCTGAGGGGGACGTGGCCATAGCGTGGGCGGGGACGATGGAGGCTCGGGAAGCCTTGCGGAAACGCCGGGTGCGCCTCGGCGCCCGCGCCGCGCGTCCCTGCGGGTTCGGCCCGGGCCTGGGTCGCGCGGGGCGCCGCCTCCTCCCGAGCGAGCTGCGCAGCATCCCTCAAGAGCTGGCTGGGTCCGTGGCCAGCAGAGAAGCGCTGCAAAGGCGTTTGGAGTGTATGCATTGACTACATGCACACAGAGGCGTTCTCGTACCAAAAAAAAAAAAAAAAAAAAGAAAGAGAGAGAAAGAAAAAATGGGGGGTGGAGGTGGGTATGTTGTAGAAAAATTGTAAATAAACCTTGATTTTAATAGTCCTTGGGTCTTCCCTCCTCCATGATGCGGTGTGATGCACCGAGCACAGCAACGTGCTGTGCGTGCTGTGTTGCAGCGAAAGACTCCATGTTCAACTTACTTTCTGTAAAAATAGTCTCCGTAATGAAATCAGATGCTTGCTACTTTCTGGGGAACTCCAGAAACAAACATTTCAAAAACTTCCCAATAAGCCACTTAATTAGGCAGCCAGGGGAATTCCAAGACACTGCACCATTTCCCATTTCCTGTCCTGTCATTTCTGCCTGTCAGTCACAGAACAGGAGGTCTTCTGTTCCAAGGTTAACAGTAAAAAGAAAGTATTTGTGATACAGAGAGAAAAAAAAAAGGAAATGCCACAGCTCCCAATGACTAAAAACTTCCAAAAATGCACATGGCCTTTGGCAGTACTTCAGCGTTCAGTTCAAGTCACGATTTCTCGGAAAGTTACAGAACATTCCCAATATATGTGGGGAAAAAAGCATTTAACAAGATAGCAAGACTTGTTCATTCTGAATTCAAGATTCTTTTTCACTTCTTGTCCCGACCAAGAAAGTAAGGTAATGAATGTACTTGACTAGAGGGGGAAATTTTGCATTTCACAAACCTTAGATACTTTTCCTGAAAAAAATATTTAATATCATTTAGGCATAATAGTACTTTATAACTTTTGATCTTATATAATTGTGATATATTCAGTGATTTCTTTTTCATATTGCCAAGTGTAAAGTTGCTGGAAGTTTTTAATGGACTGTTGGTTCTGCTGAAGTTGGCATCCTAACACCCTTCATACTTACACAGAAAAACTATAGGACCGGCCCAGCACGGTGGCCTAGCGGCTAAGGTCCTCGCCTTGAACACACCGGGATCCCTTATGGATGCCATCCAGCTCCCTGCTTGTGGCCTGGGAAAGCAGTTGAGGAAGCCCCAAAGCCTTGGGAATCTGCACCTGTGTGGGAGACCTGGAGAAGGCTCCTGGCTCCTGGCTTCAGGTCGGCGCAGCACCAGCCGTTGCAGTCACTTGGGGAAGGATCTTCCTCTCTGTCTCTCCTCTTCTCTGTATGTCTCTGACTTTGCAATAAAAATAAATGAAAGAAAAAAAAGAAACTATAGGACCAAGACCATTTTGAAGAAGAAAAAAAAGTTGGAAGCACTTGGCCTACCAGATAGCAGGTTAACAAACCCATGATAATTGGCAAAATCTTCTATAATTAAATAATGTAGAAACATGGACAAGTGAAACAGCTGAAAAGAAACCTACATATATATGTAGAAATTTGTTCAATAACTTTTGTTTTACATATTAAAACGAGATAATCAGTCAATAGTACTAAATATGTTGTTATCCTGAAGGAAAATAAAAGTTAGATCCCATTAAAATTCTCTGATAATCTACCAGAAAAATGATCTCCTAATGGCCTGGGGAAAAACAATGGAAGAAGGCCCAAACGCTTGGGCCTCTTCCATCCACATCTGCGACCTGGAAGAAGCTGCGTGTTCTGAGCTTCAGCCTGGCCCAGCCACAGCTGTGGCAGCCATCTGGGCAGTGAACCAGCAAATGGAAAATTTTCTCTTTTTCTTTGTAACTCTGCCTTGCGAGTAAATACAATAAACACAAGTAAATACAAGATTTTTTTCTAGTGAATAAAAGCTCTTGAAAGTAAACAGTCATCATTAGGAATCCAGTGATTTCAATAAACTGGGTAAACTGAAGTTACTGTTGATGTTGGTATTCAAGTTAAGTCATCTTGGTCCGTGAGAGCTATTCTGGTTGGCTCCTGGCTCTGTGACACAGCCATAGTAGTCTGTTTGAGGTTCAGTTTCCACATTGCTTACTCCATTTCCTGACAAGTCATCTATCCAAAGTGCCCAGATCGTTTTTTTTTTTTTAATATTGTTATTCATAGTTGAGAGGGATGCATGCCTGTGTGGGCCTCTGATTAGGTTCAGGAGGGTCAGGTATGGAAGAAGGTGGGTGGGACACATTTCAGTTTTCTTTTCTTTTTCTCCAGTGTCTGAAGAGGAGGAGGGTCAGTGCTCTTTGCTGTCCAACTACATCAGTACCTGGGGATGGGGGACAGTCATTTGATGTAGCCTTAGAAACCCCCACATAAGGTTAGAGTGTTCTGAGGATGTAGTGGTTTTGATAGTTCTGAGAAGTTGTTAGTTTCATTGTTCCAGGGTTGAGAAAATCTTTCCAAGGTCAGTTGGTTGACAAAACCCACGTTAATGCATCCACGCATCCACGGATGCAGGAACATGGAGCAAAGCTTGACCAGGAGAGTTGTCCAATCTGTTCTGCCTTCTGTTTTCTGATGAGGCACTTGACCTCCTCTGCTGGCCTAGATAAACTGGCCATCATGTCCCCTATGTGCATATGGACATGCTGTCCATTACACAGGCATTAGCAACTGAGCAGACCCAGTCCCTTCAGTACGAAATAGTGTAAAGACCCTAATCTGACTGTGTAATTACTAATGTAATTACTAATGAATTCTATGCTTTCTATATGTGTCCTATGGACAGAGCCAGCTAATATGGTTGTGGGTATTTTTCTTAATAAAAAGTAATATGGACTACTAGGAGTTCCCCTTCAATCTACAAATATTGAAGATTAAGGGCACACATTGTGGCGTAGTGGGTTGGGCTGCCCGCTTGGGATGCCTGCATTCCATGTTGGAATGCATGGTCCGTGTGTAGACTATGTGTCCTGCCAATATGCATGAGAGGTAACAGATGATGGCTCAACTGCTTGAGTTCTGTCACCCTCATGAGAAACCCAGATGGAGTTTCTGGCCCCAGTCTTTAGCCTGGGCCTGCTCCAGCCATTGGAGTGTGCCTCCGAGCATGAAGAGCTCACTGCCCTCCCTCTGCACCACTCTGCCTTTCAAATAAATAAATCTGGAAAATGAAGAGAATACAAAGTTTCACTTAACCTTTTTATAGTAGATGTATAAATCCTGCTTCCACCTTTAAAATACAATTTTATGAATATATCTCCCCTTAAGGAGTAACATTTTCTGCACTTTTTAACATTTGATAAATTCAAGGATCAGGAATTTGGACTAACAGGTGAAATCCTGATTAGGGTACCATGTCTATATTTGTGAGTGCTAGGGTTGTACAGACTCAGCTCTGGCTCCTGCTTTCTACTGGTGCTGACCCTGCATAGTCGTAGTGATTCCCAAGCAACTCAGTTTCTGATTCCAAGTGGGAGATCTGGATTGACTTCCCTGCTTCTACTTTGGACTTAGCTCAGTCCCAGCTGTTGCAGATTTTCACCTCGCATGTTCTGGGACCCCATATGGGTGCCGGTTTGTGTTGTGCTGCTCTACTTCCCACCCAGCTCCATGCGAGTGGCCTGGGAAGGCAGTAAAGGATGGCCCAAAGCATTGGGACCCTGCACCCATGTGGGAGACCTAGAGGAAGCTCTTCACTCCTGGCTTCAGACTGGCTCAGCTCTGGCCATTGCAGCCATTTTGGGAGTGAACCAGTGGACAGAAAATCTTGCTATCTCTCCTTTTCTCTGTAAATCTGCTTTTCCAATAAAAATAAATAACTGGGTTTTTTTTTTAAAAGAATAATAATGGACTCAGGCAGTCACTCCATGTTACTACATAAAAACAGATATTTCTACACAGTAGTAATCCAGTGTGCATAACATAGCATAACATACCCAAATTGAACAGTGATACTCAAAAAGCCATCCAACACTATTAGATCTGTGCCAAAGACTCAGGAGCCAACCTGAATAAACTAATACCGTAATATATTAAACTACTTCCCTATTGGTGGACACCTAGGTGGTATCCTGGTGTCTTGCTATGACCAACAGTACTGCAATCAGTAGTCATGGGCATGCTTATTTTAGGATATGTTCCCAGAAATTGGATTGTTCATTCAAATGGTAAATTCACATGTCATTTTGCCGGATGTGACCAAAGACCCTCTGTGGGATTCCTGGCATTTTGTAACTCAAACAGCAGCACATGAGTGCCTATTTTCCCCTCAGCCTCATCCACAAAATGTATTGTCAAACTTTTCAATTGTTGCCAGTCTATTAGAGAAGGACAGCATTTTAATGTTGTTTGAAAGCCATTGTTCTGTTATGAATAAGACTGAAGTTTTTTCCCTTACATCAGCCATGTGTAATAGTTCATTTATTTAAAAAAAAAAATAAGCCCAG